CAAACCAACAACTTTTGTTGAACAGGGCGACACTCAACCAACTGAGCCACTCAGGCCTGATACACATCTACTATTTTAAGGACTGGCATAGGTTGAGGAAAACTCTACTATAAGCTTGAAGTTAAATTATATATTGTGCTTATTTTTGAAAGTGCAGTAAAGTGCTCTAAGGTGTAGGTAAGATCCCAAACATGGAATTGGAGAGACAACAGAAAGCAATGCCTCAGGACTTCCATGAGCACAGTGTACACACACTCTGTCCCACCTGAGGTGTGTGATTGGTGTGGTCTAATGATCTGGAGACATAACCCTGGCAAAGGCAGCGGGCTCTGGCAGTGGTCTGAGTGCATCGAGTGGATGGGCGGTCGGATGGTGTGAGGTTAGCTCTCTATGGTGGTGCTGGGAGCTGACACAGTTCTTGCAGGTACCCTATGCTGACCTTGCCAAGCCCCCTGCCCTTCCGCAGAGCTCTCCTTATTCTGAGCCCCAGTCCTTCCTCTCCCCGGGCGTCCTTCCTCTCCCCGGGCTTCCAGCCTCCTGGGCCTGCCCTTCTTCCCCCTCCCCTCGCCCACCCTCGTGGATGCACCTCGCGCCTGGCGCTGTCCAGGTCGGGGACTGTGAGGAGACTTGGCCTCCTCTCCAAGCAGTGCCCTACCTGCTGGTGGAAACCCAGGGAGGAATTCTTCCTTAGGGTGGTGGCTGGTGCCGTGAAGGAAATACAGAGGGCGCTGTGGTACCAACTAATGGGCTGAGCGGCGTAGGTGCCACTAGTCCCTCCTCCACTGGCCAGGGCCCTGGTGACTGACACAGGGGATCCTCCTCCCAGGTCCTCCTGCAGCGGTGCCACGCCTCCCTTTGGTCCCAGACCTCCCATTACCCCCCACCTCCCACTCCGCCCCTGGCCATTCCCAGCCCCCTTCTTCCGGTCCTTTCTGGCCCCTTGCGCCCAACCCTGACGCGCCCTGGTCCCCTGGACCCCGCCCAGGTGTGGCGTTCTGGGGGCTCAGGGAGCGGCTTCCGCCTGTGGGTGCAGCTGGACGGAGACCAAGGGCTGGGACTCTGGGAGCGGACTGGGCGCGGAGGGCGGCTTCTGCCAGGCCAGGCACGCGCAGCGGGGAGGAAGGGGCGCCCCGGGAAGGGAGGGCGATCGGGGGATGAGGGTCGGGGGGACGGTCCCCAAACCGCTGGCCTCGCGTCGG